ACCTTTTTGTGTATCTGCTTTGAAATAGCCACTCTTGTTCTTTGGTCAGTCCACTTTTATGAATATGGGCAGTTTATTAATATCTTCACCCCAAAGTAAATAAATACCTTTGCTTTCAAGTTCCATATTAATAAATGTAGAATGGAGATGTGACTTTTAAGTAAATTTTTAATGGTAAATAATCATAATACTGAAAATAATGAACATTGATCATATTTTTGTTTTTAAAGACACCTGCATCCTATAAATTTAATTAAAACAAGTAGGAAATTACTTTTAACATGGTTCTGCCTTAACCATTTACTGTCATCAGGTGACCTGGTTGCTTGGTATGGGCTTAGCTGTACAAAAAAGCAATAGGAACTCTGAAAAAGGAAGAAGTCCAACACAAAAACTGTAAAATCCTGCATATAGTTATCTAATCACTATAGAAGCTACCTAAGCCCACCCTGGCAAGAAAAGACGTTGCATGATTTATATATTGCATTTCCATGGCAAATGTAACAGTGTTAGAGTAAACAGCTTGGAAATGAGTGGTGGGCATTGTGTCATGTCTTGGGCAACAGGGTATTAGATTCTTGTGACTTCTCTTTCAAAGTCTGGTTAGCACTTAACTAGACTTTATTATAGTTTTTTTAGATTATTTTTATTTAGTACATGTCGATGTTTTGCCTGCATGTATGTCTGTACACCACATGCATGCCTGGAACCCAAAGAGGTCAGATACCCTGAAACTGGATTTACAGATGGTTGTGAGCCATCAGGTGGGTCCTTGGAATCAAACCCAGGTTTGATTTCTACAAAGATAAGAACTCTTAATAAGTAAAACCATTGAGCCCCATGAAGTTTATTCTAACGCTCAGGATCTAAAAAGGTAACTCTTAGGCTGATTCTTAGACAGATGGGTGAGATCTTAAGCAAAACTTACTTAGTGTTTGTAGTATTGAGGTACAGAAAGTACATAATTTCCTCTTGTCCACAGTATAAAATATGTGCTATGGGGTGGGATGGATGTGGAGCTATGCAGGCAGACGTCTCACTGTCTGGATGCCTTCTGTCTTAAAAACAGAACAGGTATAGTGTATACCTTGGCTAGGACAGAAAAAGAGGGCTGGCAAGAGGGCTCAGTTGTCAAGCTTCGGGACCTGCATTCCATTCCCAGGACTTAACATGGTGCAGGGAGAGAACTAACTTCCTTAAGTTGCCCTTCGACCTCTGTATGTGTGTTAGTGCTGTGTTTGATAATTAGGCAGGATTGACCTCTTAAGACATGGGAGAGCCATGTCAATGGAGTCTTACTCACTTTGAAGAGGGCTAAGGCCTGCCCGAGGAGAACAAGTATAATCTTCAAACCAGTGAAGGAGTAGAGAGAGAGGGAGAGAAAGAGGTGTGTGTGTGTGTGTGTGGGGGGGGTGATAGGTGGCACTCTGACTTGGCTGTTTGTTTTCTGTTGTGTGTTGAATGGGTCAGCAGCAGTTGGACTTGGTCAAGGGCTGTCTGTTTAGTGATTCAGACGGTCATGTTTATGTTAAAAGTGAGTCCTCCATGGGTTGGAGTAGCTTTTCCTCAGACTACTCAAATTGGTGGGTGGCCTGATGGTCACGCACTGCAATACTGTGTCCACGCCTCAATAGGCAGTTCTTTCTGTTTCCTACAGGGGTCCCCAGAAGTCTTGCCCTGTGGATTTTTTTTTTTTTCCTTTTGGTTTTTGAGACACAAGTCTTTCTGTATAGTTCTGGCTGCCCTTCTGGAACTCTCTTTGTAGATTAGGCTTGCCTTGAACTCACAAAGATCTGTGTCTGCCTCCCAAGTGCTGGGGTTAAAAGGCATGTGCCATCACACACAGCTTCTGTGGGTTTCTTTTATGAAATAGTAAACCTGAAATATACCTGATAATGAAAGAAAGCCTGCAAGCCTCTCAGGTGTATAAACATCGCAGTCTACATTTTATTCTCATACATACCTGGGAGAGATTCTGTTTCCATGGAGAAGCCCTTCTTTTGTGGAGGGAGATTCCATCACGCTGTGGGTCCAGACACAGCTCTGAGCTCACAACCAGCAGGACTAAATGTATACAGCAAAAGGCTTGAGAGCAGCTTCAGTATCTAGAACAGAATCCTTGTTTGTCATCAGAAAAGAGGGCTGGGTTTCAAGTAAAAACCATGAACTCCTCAAACTGATCTGGTTTGTCTGTGAAATTCCTTTGGGTCAGCCCCATAGGACCAAGGACACTAAAGCTGCAGCTTTAGTAGCTAAAATGAACCCACAAATGCTTAAACTATAACCAACCAAATTTTGATGTATACCATGAGAAGACAACACTTTCTTTTATGAGCAGCAGACCAAAACTGGGTAAGGATTGAAAAAACAGACTCAGGGGGACTGTGAAGTAACCTTCAAAGGGAGCTGTTGAAGATTCACCACTTTACATTTAGTAGAGCAGCAAAAGGTGAAATTTCAACTGCTGTCCCAGTCTGTGCCTGTAGTTTTTTGCTTTTTTATTAATGTCCTTGGGCAATGGGTCACACTGAGAACAGCATATAGACTGTGAACACCTAAGTCTCATCCTTCAACCCGCTCAGTCAGAACCCCAGGAGTGGCTTATAGATAGACATTGGCTATCTATTTTTCCTTAAAAATCTTTTAAGGAAAGATTTTTGTTCGAAGGGCACACACAGGTCCCTGTGTGGCATCTGAGGACCATATGGGGCATGTTTCAGCATAGCTGGCTCTTGTCCCTTCCCATCCTCTGTCACAGGAGAGTTTTCTTGTTCTAGAACTTCATATAAATGGATAATGACATTATTTCTAAAGCTTCTAGCTGGTTTTCATGTGATATAGACTACAATGGAATGTCTAAACCTGAGGAGATCTTCTCAGGCAAGGATAAGAGTTTCTTGGTGTAATGTATGAAGGTTATATTTGAAAGTAAGCCACTTAGCTGTTTGCTGTCACACCCTTCTGGGATAGTCACTTTTCTAGACTTATTAGAGCTGCACTTCTAATTGCACTTAAATACTCCAGGCATCTGAGTATTTAAAACCAATTTAAACAGTGTAAGAGCTAGTTGTCACCCTCTGTACTACTATGTGTTCCAATAAAGCTCCAGACTCACTCTTTCCCCAGACAATGTTGTGTATGGTTACACAGATCAGTAGCCTTGGTCATGCAGATAAAGCCAGAAAGAACTGAACTCAGATTCTGTTTAAGCTAGGTGATGATGGGAGCGAGTTGGAGAATGAGTTCCCTGAACCTCAGTGTGATTTCCATGCTGTTCCAAAGTGTTTTAAAGACAGAAGAATCTAGTGGAGATATTTTAGCTGTATTGATATTTCAGTTCCATCTGACTTTTGCACATAGGTAGACATTGTATTCTTTTCTTTTGTGCAGCACTGGCATCAAAAGAGCTTAGGTTCAAGCCAACAAAGTGAAACATACCATTAGTTTATGTTTAGAGCATAGTTGAAAGAGCCAAGGCCACTGTCGCCAGTCAGGTGGCTGCAGACAATCCAGCTGGGCTTGAGGAACTCAAAGGAAGGTTCAGAGAGGACAGGCATTTGATTGGTGCAGGGCTAGGTTCAGTGTTTAGTGAATGTGTTTTAGTACTACATGAAGGGTTGATTGTGTATTTCCTTGAAATGAGTTACCGACTTACAGACTGTAACCTGGTCAAATAGCATTTCAAGACTTCTGTCTGCTATCTGTTGTATTGTACATGACTGTATGGTCATTTCTCATTTGAGTTCAGCAGTGCTAATGATGTGTCCACAGTGCGTAGAACAGACCTGACAGGGTACCTGGATAGGAGCATGTGTTTCCATGGTCCCTTCTTTTTAACGAGTAGACTTGTTTTCCTGCATGCTGGGAGAAAAGCACTTGTCTCACCCTCCTCACCCCTGTATCTAACCACTTTCCATCTGTTTGTGTTAGATGATGGCACAGGCCATAGGGCTGAGAGGGAAACATGGAGTGTGCCTTCACTTTGCCAAAGAGTCCAGGTGAGAAATGCAAATGGAAGGCAAGCTAGGTCTTAAATGGTAAATGTTGAGCAAAGGATGACACAGGCCTATAATACCAGCACTCAGCCAGATGAGTTCACTGCCAGGCTAGTATATAGCACGTTCCAGGCCAACCTTGCCTATATAATGAGACCCTGTTTCAAGAAATGAAAGAATTATCTGAGATTGTTTCTAGATAGTAAATTGTCAACTTTTTACTAGATATTTCAATATGCATAGGTAATGAATCTGAAAATGTTTTGCTCTCCATGCTTAGGCTATTAAAATGACTTTCTCTGTGTGAATAACTTCCTGTGTGTTTCTAATAGAAATGATATCAACTGAAAATCATGTGACTGAAAAGTTGTGACAGCCATTAAAACTAGGGCTAGCCCCATCTATCTCTCTGCAGTGTGATGTAACAATGCCATCTTTGGCCTAGCATGTGCCTCCGTTCTGACAGAGGGATGTTTGTCCTAGTTTCCCGAATGTCTAGAAGTGACATGAAATGTGAAATCCAGTCTTCTTGAGAGATGAATCAAATAATCTAAACAGTAATAATTTCCATTTTCATTAATCTGGCATATTGCATGAAAAGCAGATAGGTTAGTGTACCCTCCATGTACAGGTTAAAGTTTTAACAAAACGTGATATATTGAAATTGTCTGTTTGGTACTATCAATTTAGAGTGTTTCTTAAAAGACTTTAACCATTGGTCTTTAGTAAACATAGAGATTCTCTGTTACATATGTTATATCCCCCTTTCAGAAAATGCTTTGAAGTTTTGAAATATCAAAGAGATAAAATTTTCATTTTTTAGGCAATATGTCAAGTACTACATATTTCCCAATTTCCTCCTTACTGAGAGAAATATTACTTATGTTTTGCAAATATCATAGACTTTATCTAACAAAGTATTTGCTCTAGTCCATTTTACTTTTCTGCCTTTTAAATATGGACACATGAATGATAGACTTGTTTGGCCTCTTCTTTCTTCCCCAGAGCATTAAGAAGAAGCATTCAAACAAGCAGGAGATGGGCACCTACCTGAGGTTCATTGTCTCCCGCATGAAGGAGAGGGTGAGTGCTGCTGGGTCCCCAACATCTTGCCAGGCTTGCTTTCTCTCCCACTGTGGTTCTCAGGTTCTGTGGGCATATTTGGTCTTAAGGTCTCAGTCTGCTGTCCAGACTGGACTTGAATTTGTGAACCTCTTGCCTCAGCCTCCTGAGTGCTGGGATTATAGTCCTGTACTACCAAATTTGGTTGCTGTTTTATTCATTTTCTAGAACAAATGTTTTTGTATTGGACTGGACTTTGTCTTTTGTTTTGTTTGATACAAGCATTGAATTGACTACATTCAATTAAGACACAATGTAAAAGTTAATTTATCAAATGAATGTTTGCATTGGCTATTGCTATTTAAAATGAAGTGGCATTTCTCAAATAGCTGTTCTGCAAACCTTGAAAAGTGCACATTACATTAGCTATACATTCTCCATTAATTATGATGGACGTTTTGTAAGATTATAAAATACGTTGAGCTTCAGGAATTGATGTTTTACATATCCCTTTATGTATTTAACAACCCTTTAGGCTATAGACCTTAATAAAAAGGGAAAGGACAGTAAGCATCCAATGTACCGGAGGCTGGTCCATTCAGCTGTTGATGTCCCTACCATACAAGAGGTAACTTGGCTCCTTTTATTTCCACTTCCATGTGTCTAGCAAGTTAGAGGGGAAGTAGCATGCACAGTGGTGGTGGCTGTGGTGTGACGGTATGTTGTGCATTTGTGCCTTTAACTGTCACACAGTCTAATGCAAATTTTAAAAGACCCGACTTTTAACCACTTACAGCTAGAATCTTGATATTTGTTGATTACAGGAAGCGGGACAGCTTGACATTTTGTATGTAAAGTACTGATTTCTAACATGAGTTTCTATTTTAGCAGTGTGCTTTGGGAGTTTTAGGTAAAACTTAGGGTGTAGACTAGATTTAGTGTTTTGGGAAACCATAAAAAGAACAAAATTAGGGTTAAATCTAAAAGAAGTAATTCTATTATATATATTTCATAAGTATATTTTAGTACTTTTTGAGAATTGCAAACAGTGAGTTTTGACCACCTTCTACCCAAACTCCTCACAGATTCAAGCCCTCTTTTTAATTACCGACCCAACTTTATAGCCTTTTTTAAAAAACCATCAAGTCCAATTTGTGCTGCCCATATATCTCAGGTTTTGGTCTTGTCTTTGTGCTACATTATAAGGCATGAGGATCTAAAGATACACCCCCCACACACACACTCAGTGCTTGGGATCCTCTAGTCCCTTCCAGCCAAAACCCTCTTGACCCACTGCCATCATTCTTCCCTGAGGCTTCTAGATCCTGTCAGCTCCCTGTACAATGGGCTGATGCTAGCTGGGTTAATGCCTTGTCCTTGAATAATATGAGCACAAGTCCTGATAGGAGAGTTAACAAAAAGACAAGATTTTTATGATTTTACCAGTTTAAAATCCAAAATATGAGTCATGGTTCAGAACAGAACTCAACAGGAAGCGCTTTGGGGGGCTACTGTAAGGAGATACTTAAGTCTGGGCAAGGGCTTGTACAGGTTCAGTGCCTGGTGTACCCCAGCCTTACAGAGGCAGGAATGCAGGGAGGGAAGTCAGGCATCAAAGCTTGAACATAATTTCCTGTAGGGTATGTATGACCTAGGAGAAGTGGAATTTCCATTGAAGGAATGGCAGTTGAACTAAAACTATACAGGAAAGAAGCTGCATGCGCAGGGATAAAGTACGTGGGAGGGGCCTGGGCTGTGAGGATTCATTTGCGGCCTTGGCCTTGCTAACCATCTTTCTGCCAAAATCACTGGGGTGCTCTCCTGCTATTCCCAGATAGCTTAGCTATATACACACTACTTGAAAAAGTTTGAGCTTCCCGCAAGGGAGAAAAACGCTCTGAAAATTATTCTGTTACCCTCTTTGGCCACCAACAGCAGAGCTACAAAATGTACTTTGAAGGAGTCTTTTTTGTGTCTCATCAATGTAGAGAAAGCTGTGTGTTGCTTTGTCTATAGAGGAACTCTCAAAGCTCCACTGCAAACTAGTGCATGTGCCTTACTTAGAGCAGTGTCCTCAGCCTGTGGGTTGTGGATCAAATATTTACATTATAATTCATAACAGTAGCAAAATTACAGTTAAGAAGTTATGGTTGGGGGTCAAAACATCATAAGGAACTGTATAAAAAGGTCATAGCATTAGAAAGGTTGAGAGCCACTGTCTTAGAGGTTTGGTGACTATTGTGGAGGCTAACAGCTCCTTTTTCTGGTCTTGATCCAGCTGTTAGAAAGATGGCAGGCATGTGTGGTCCTGCTCTCATCTGAACATTTTCTGACAAAGCTCAGCAGCAGCTGCCACCACTGCTGTTAGATGAGGTGTAGCAGCTGTGAAGGCCATTGTGGGGAGTTAACACAGTGGGCACACTACTGTTTACGGCACTGTCACTTAACAGCGGGAGTCCTGATGTCAACTTGACAGATTCTGTTCTGTCCTCTTCTCAAGTCCTGTCACTCACAACACATTTGTCCTTCTGTCTTTTACCCCCACAGAAAGTGAACGAGGGAAAATACCGGAGTTATGAGGAATTCAAAGCTGATGCACAGCTGCTTCTCCACAACACAGTGATTTTCTATGGAGGTTCAATCCTTTTTCTCTTTTGTATACAGTCTTGAAAATGCTAAATTCCATGTTGAGAATATCTGTCACGGTTCCTTGTAATTCATGCATGAGTAATGATGTTGGAATTTAAACTGATGGCGTCTTGCTGGTGTGGCTTGCAGAGGTGATGGCAGTGGTATGGGGAAAACACTCTTTCACTTTTTTTTAAATGGTGCTGAGGATGAGAGGCTAGCCCAGGGCCTCATGCATGCTAACCAAGCACTCTACCTCTGAGCTACATCTTTAGTGAAATGTATTCTTTACGTTCACTTGCTTTATCTTAGCTAAGAGGTTTCTCCAGGCATTTCATTAATTCTGATACTTTCCCACTAAGATCTCATTCTTAAAGTCAAGAAGTCATTCTCTACCTAGAGAATTAGTGGTTGTGTTAAATGTAAAACTGAAAGTTGCCTGTAGGATTTATTTTGTCCCTTGAACATGACATAAAATGTGTGTTTTGCTGAATGTGTCTCCATTTGGTAAACTGAAATGACAATAGGGTCACTTGACTTGATGGTGGCAGTTTCTAGAGTACTGATGATAAGTTGTGTTTATCTTCAATTACAGCAGACAGTGAGCAAGCGGACATTGCGAGGATGTTATATAAAGACACGTGTCATGAGGTACTTACCATTCACACCTAATAATTAAACTTCTTTTAGTCTAAATTTAGTTAAGGCTTCTGTCCTTCCTTGCTACATTTAATTATGGCATCTCCTTTGAATTTGATTTCCATGTTTGCCAAACATGGAAAGTAAACAAACAAAATATTTCTGTAACAGGTGACTAAGGATATGGTGGCAGATTTAGCTAGTAATTTTCAAGCACTGTTTGTTGCTGATGTGAGTGTTGGTGAGATGTGAACAAATTGCACTCTGCAGCCAGAGTCACAACTTGGACTGAGGGTTCACATGTGCCTTCTATTAGACCCAGTTGCATATGCATACAGTAAATGAATCACCTGTAAATATTAATTTTGTAAAAATTCTCATAAGAAGTGTGATTTCTTCATTTCAAATTCGATATTTCCTTTTTAGTTATTAAACAGTTTTTTATTGAATGTCTACAGTGCACCAGACAGTGTGTTAGAAGGAATGTATCGGTGATGTAGGTATAGACTCCAGTGTATAGACAGCTGTCTTCTGAAGAGAGGCTGACAACAGGAAATAACGCAAGTGGCCTTTACAGTGATGAAGAAAACAGTGTGCAAGCGAGGGAAGGGTACTGTCACCCTTGCATGTCTTCCACAGGCATGGCAGGACCTGTCATCCTAGCGGATTTTAAGTGTACTAGGTTAGTCAGGACCTGACTGAGAGCTGCCTGTCAGTCCCTCTCAGCCACATTGGCTGCTGTGTGGCTCAGACCATTGCTTTGCTTTTCAGCTGGATGAGCTGCAGCTTTGCAAGAACTGCTTCTATCTATCAAACGCACGGCCCGACAACTGGTTCTGCTATCCTTGCGTATGTGGAATTTTGTCATTTTCATTGATAGAGTACCGTTTCGATCACAGTTACTTCCTGTTTACTTAGAAATGATAATACCTGTGAAATATATTTCTTTACATCATAGTACCTGTGGCCTTAATAAATACTTACAAATGAAACATGAGAAAATAACAATAATTGCTTTTCAGTTCCGAATTTCAAATGGAGTTCTTAGTAAGACCATACACGGGGTCCTTTGATAGACAGGAGAGTGAGTCTTTGCTTTTCTTCTCATTTTCAACAAGAGACCCATGGCTTTGCTATGTCTGTAGTTCCATCATCTCCTCTGAAATGGAAAAAAGCCTCTGGCTATTTGAGGGTATCCCATGACACTGACATTGGGTGGACTTGTGGGGCCTCAAACTCTTCTCTCCTAACAAATACCCAGGTGATGCTGGGCACAGAAGCAAAGTCAGGGCACTCTGTTTACTACTATCATGCACAGGGCCCTTGACTTTAGAGGCAACTTTACCCCAGTTCCTGTCTAATCTGGCAAATAGCCCATAATTCTACCTTCTCTTAAGCTTATTGTTTATATTGATGGCAAAAGAAAAACAAAACACTTGTATGTGTTTCAGAGTTAAAAGGAAAGATCCAAATGGATGGTGTCTTTCTTAATCCACGCTTCTCTATTTAAAAAGTCATTCAATATTAAAAGAAATGACATTTCATTTTCAGATACCTAATCATGAGCTGGTTTGGGCTAAAATGAAAGGTTTTGGGTTTTGGCCAGCCAAAGTCATGCAGAAAGAAGACAATCAAGTTGATGTCCGCTTCTTTGGCCACCACCACCAGAGGTAATTCTTAAACTCATGTAATAGCAAGAGCTGCGCTTATGCATGTGTACTGACTGCTGTTAGAGACAGTGGGTGCTGTGTTTATTTCAAATTCAGCATATGCCTGTAGCTGGTAATAATTTATGCAAGTTTTTCAATTTTACTGAAAACAGTGGAATACTTGGTCCTCAGGTATAAACACACTTGTGCTGAGATTGAACCCATCATGTCGGGTGTGGATCCACAGACAGGCACGTCCATCCCACACTGTAAAGATGTGTGGCATTTGTGTCTCCTCTGTGGCCCTATTAATAGGCAAAAATAATTAACTTGGGATTAGAGCATCAGTCTAAGAATGTGGACAAGCACAGTAAGTGTAGAGGAGAGGGACCAATTACAAAGCATCATCTTTACTCCTGGGCTTCAAAACTTATATATGTAGAATACATAAAATCTATATATTCTAAAAGAAGAAGCTGACTATAAAATTACTTCATATATTTCATAGAAAGATACCAACCCATAGGATGGCACACTTATTATACTGTTCTCAGTGTGAGTTAAGGCCCCAATGACACTGAGCATTAAAAATTAGGATATAACAGTATTGACATAAAAAGTCAGCTGTGGGGCTGGAGAGATGGCTCAGCGGTTAAGAGCATTGCCTGCTCTTCCAAAGGTCCTGAGTTCAATTCCCAGCAACCACATGGTTTCTCACAACCATCTGTAATGAGGTCTGGTGCCCTCTACTGGCCTGTAGGCATACACACAGATAGAATATTATATACATAATAAATAAATAAATAAATAAATATTTTAAAAAAAGTCAGCTGTGCATGTACTTTGAACATCTCCTTAGATCATAGTGTCTGGGGCATAGAGCAGTATTGTATGAGAAGATTCAAAACAAAGGATTGTATTTTTCTCTCCTGGTTTATAGTTTGTCCTATATCCTTTGAGTACTTTAAATGTCTGTTTTCTCATTCATATAGACACACCTAGCAGACACTGTTGTTATGTTAAGAAAAACTAATGACACAATGTACAAGGTTAATACATTTTAGCTTTTGGTGAATGGGTAAGTTTTAGCATAAAAGGCTTCTCACATCAAATCTAGTTAGTTTAATGTTCTCACAAGAGGGCACTGTCCACATGCCAGTAGGGTAAGTCAGTGTCTGTTAGTGTTTGTCCAAGTCTCTGCACCAGCTCTGTCATCCAGATACACTAGCCAGGCTCTCTGAGCTTTGTGAAAGTTGTGACCTCACTCCTCGTGCACGCTTGATACAGACATAAGCATAGCACCTAGCTGGCAGTATTCAAAGTGATGATTATAAGTTAATATCGGGAGTATGGGGGAGGAGAATGTTTTTGAACTTCCAGATAGATAGGTCTCTCTGCTATTCCGTCATATAATGCAGAATTATTGATCTGGATAGAATATGACATGAATGATTGCTTAGGGGACACAGTAAAAATTCTATTTTATTAGGGTATTTTATGTATTGAAAATAAACAGATTGTAATCATGAATTAAGCACTAAAAAACAATGGCTCATGAGGAGGTACTAGTTGTTAGTTTTGAGAAATGTGTTTTTGATAGTATATTGTATTACACATAGGAGGCAGAAAATTATGCAAATAATTTTGGACTCATTCCACTTAGACTAAGGCTGACTTAGCATGCAGGAGAGGCCAGCTGTTGCCTGCATATAGATCTGCAGCAGTAGGTCTCTCTAGGATCTGCAAGATGGTCAATTGTTTTGGACCACTCAGCTTCTTTAAGGCAGCCAGACCTTTTGATGGAGCCAGCAAAAAAGTTATTGGATAAGTAGTAAGTCACAGAATCAGTTCATCCATCTTTACTTTACTAAACTAGCCTTAATTGTAGAATGTCTTTACTTCTTGATTTTTATTAGCTCAGAGTACTCAGTGTTAATTTAAACTGACACCTATGCATGGAAATGTTTTAAATTCTGTTAAGAATGTAAGGGAAGGGGCATCTATTCTGGTAGGTGATCAGCCTACTCTTTCTGCACACCTTGCCACAGGATCCTCACTGAAGCAGCAAACTTTTACATTTTTGCTGACTGTCCCTGTGCAACAGGAGCACATGACTTCCATGTTCTACATCACCTTTACCCTTGTCACAAATGCAGAGACACTATTTATCAGGAACATAAATCACATGCTTTCAGGTACCAGTCAGTGTATGTGTATGCACTCATGTACTGGCACACACACACACACTCCTGTTCATTACTTTCAAATCTCTGGTACATGTTGTAACTCAGAGACACTTCTGAGGGCTTGCATTGTGCTAAAGAATAAAGACCCAGCTTCATGTGTTAATTTGGTTTGTCTAACGCACAGGAGCATAGCACAAATGTAATTTAGTTAATACTTAGTTAATATCCTCATTGTAAATAGATACACACACATATACATATATAAAGAAAAAGTATGTGCATTTTGAAATGGTTCCATAATGTGATCAGCATGCAACTGGATGGGTCCTGCTAGCTTACATCATCCAAAACAATAGATATATTTTTAAAAAGACTGATGAGTGTCTCTATGAACAGTGGTGAGCTGAGGTGACTAAAGACAGTGAGCAAGTCACCATGTCCTGGGAACTGACTGCTCACCTCCTGTCTGTTGGCTAAGAGTTTGTTAAGCCTGAGTGTCAGCCTTTGTCAAGTTGTTGCAGATACTCTTCACTTTAGGCAGAGTCCACACCACGCTCTGAACCCTTTCCACCACTGTCGCTGTTTCTCACTCCATCTCCCAATCCATTCCGTAGGGCCTGGATTCCTTCTGAAAACATTCAGGATATCACGGTCAATGTTCACCGACTGCATGTGAAGCGCAGTATGGGCTGGAAAAAGGCCTGTGATGAGCTGGAACTACATCAGCGGTTCCTCCGTGAAGGCAGGTTCTGGAAGTCCAAGAATGAGGACCGAGGTGAGGAAGAGGCAGAGTCCAGTATCTCGTCCACCAGTAACGAACAGGTGAGTGATGTCTCGGTAAGAAGGTCCTGATTATTCTGCATTTTCAATGCAGAAACCTCCGTATACATGCCTCACTGTCATAAACAGGTTTTGACATCTTCTTTCCCTTTCATACAAACATCTGTAAAGTGCTCTGCACAAGTAAGCACCCCAGTGCAAAGATGTGAGTGGGTAGAAGCGACTTGGAGCCTGACCCAGCCGGTGGGAGGAGAGTAAGTGCGCTGCTCGGCTCTGCAGGTCCACAGGCTCTTCCATCACCAACCCACAGCAATAACGAAGCAAGTGGCTGCTGAGTGGATGGAAGGACTCCCTTCTACCTGCGGGTCCACTACAAGTATTCTCAGCACAGAGGTATTTCCTAGGGTGCCGAATAATAAGATATTACTTTTATAATGCCCACAGCTGAAGGTCACTCAAGAACCAAGAGCAAAGAAAGGACGACGTAATCAGAGTGTGGAGCCCAAAAAGGAAGTAAGTTGCCCACCTCACAGTGTCCAGGTGGCAATCGAGAGAGGAAAGAGTCTGAAAGTACGGTCAAGACAGTCAAGTAATGTCCGTCAAGTTAAGGCCCAGTCTCCCGACTCGTGTCGTTGTGGACTGCTGCTCGACCAGCACACGAGTGCACAGTCTCCATCCCCAGTAAGCAGCCGTGGAGCAGAGGCCGGGGAGCGAGCAGGGTGCTGCTGCGTTTCCTGAGAACCTGGTGTTTTTCATGGCAGTGTGTACAACAGAGCAGTTATCTGATGAACCAGTCATGCCAGCACTTGAAAACAAGGAGACAATGGTCAAGCTTTCTTTTTGTATGATCTGAGCATGTTTTAAAATTGTAAATCTGGGTACATGCCAGACACATTCAGTGAGGTGTGATTTAGGACTCTAGCAAATCTATTGATAGTTGATAATGATTTTATATTTTGTAAACCAAAAACTTTATTTTAAAAGTAAGATCCATTGTGTTAATATATAGTGAAATTATAAATGAAATCCTTTTTAGAATCTTCTCACACTATTAATTGTTTAACTTTTTATTTACTGGTTGTGTTTGGGGAAGATGTATTTAATTGTGAAAAAATATAACAAGATACCAGCCTTACTTGCTTGTTAACAGCATTTGTATGTGTGTGTGTATGGTATGTGTGTATATACACACATGCACATGTGCACACACAAACACTGAATTTTTCTCTTAACTGAGTTTGGGTGAGTTACAATGTCCTTTTTTCTTCTAAACACTTTAGGAGCCAGAGCCAGAAACGGAAGCAGTAAGTTCCAGCCAGGAAATCCCCACCATGCCTCAGCCAATTGAGAAGGTGTCAGTGTCAACCCAGACCAAGAAGTTAAGTGCCTCTTCTCCAAGAATGCTGCATCGAAGCACCCAGACTACTAGTGATGGCGTCTGTCAGAGCATGTGCCACGACAAATACACCAAAATTTTTAATGACTTTAAAGACAGGATGAAGTCGGACCACAAGCGTGAAACAGAAAGAGTGGTCCGAGAGGCGCTGGAAAAGGTGGGGCTGTGCACTGCTGGGGGGCAGAGGAGAGTGGAACAGCTTCTCGCAGGAGCGGCTGAGCCAGTATTCCTATTCTGTTGTAATTAGTAATGCTTTCTTGCTAACATCTTTTGTGTGTACTGAAGTAGTGGGGACAGAGCCTGAGCTCAGCAGTGAGGCTTTGCTTACCTGTGTGTCCTGTCTATTGCTGTCTTCATTTCAGCTGCGTTCTGAAATGGAAGAAGAAAAAAGACAAGCGGTAAATAAAGCTGTAGCCAACGTGCAGGGTGAGATGGACAGAAAGTGTAAGCAGGTGAAGGAAAAGTGTAAGGAAGAATTTGTAGAGGAGATCAAGAAGCTAGCGACACAGCACAAGCAGCTCATTTCTCAGACCAAGAAGAAGCAGTGGGTGAGTAGTAACTGTCCCCAGCACTGCTGGGAAGGCGGTCGGCTGTGGTGAGGTCAGCTCCAACAGAGAAGTGCAGTGCACACAGACGGGGCCCCGAAGAGTAGTTGTGACTCCAGAGCATTCAGGGGATGTCCTCGAACCCCTCCTGAGCAGAGCTGACGTTGTTGTACACAATACAGTCATCTGCAGCTTTTCGAGCAATGGAGACGACTTTAATCTGGAGATGTCTAATGGTCTTCAAACTGAAAAACTGCACGTGTATCCCAACAAGCGATGTCCCTATTCCAGACATTTCACATTACAGTAGTTTACAGAAATTCCTTCCTTATGCTTACAGTAAGAACATGTCATTGCTGGGCGATCGCCTTCCTTCAGCTTGACTGGAAGTGTCATTGAGTCCTGATTCTAAACCTTCCCTCCCCTTGGGATAGAGGCTCCTGCACATAGAGCCCCATAGCTCTGAGGGAACTACCTAGTGGGAACAATTCTCCCTCATGCTCCTAATTTGGTTTCAATTTAAATAATATTCTATATAGCATTTCATGATAATTTTTCCTTTTACCTAGCTTCTATTATGAAGATTCTGTAAATATATGTAAAATTTTCATAAAGTATTTGGTACAAAAAAATTGTTATAAAGACTTAGCAAGAACGACAAGGGCATCCTGGCACATACGCAGAAGCTGTCTAGGCAGCTCGGTGGGAAGAACTGGCTGAGGAGACGGTAGACATAGGCAGGGTGTGCTCCAGCAAGCTCCAGAAGGCCCAGACACCACACTGGTAACTCTGTCTTACATAGGACACTAGATTTATTGAAGACATGATTCTCTTCACCTTCTCAACAGCAATACGGCAGGAGTTGCCACTGTTGATGTAGCAAAATCACAAAACTCAAAATATTAATTTCAACAGAAAGTAAAAACAAATACGCAGTCAAGAAGAAAACTGGAAGGTTGAATTTTTAATTTGTTTGTTTGCTTTTTGGTTTTTTCAAGACAGGTTTCTCTGTAGCTTTGGAGCCTGTCTTGGAACTAGCTCTTATAGACCAGGCTGGCCTCGAACTCACAGAGATCCTCCTGCCTCTGCACTCATAGGCGAGTGTTCTGGACCCTCAGTGTGTCTTGTTAGTCCGTGTGCAGAATACCACTCTATAGTCTTGTGGGTTATAAGCTCAGCGTGCTTTTTCCTGCTCATCCTCTTGGCAGGCATCTACAGTGGTGCAGCTGCTAGCTCACCAGCCCTACTTAAGATTCAAGCATGAACATTCCCTCCTTTCTTCTTCCATGTTTAATGGTCTAGCCTCAACACTAGGCACTTTGAGACCCAGCTGGCCTTTGTGGAAACTTTCAGTAGCAAGAGTGACTTTTCCCTGAAAGGCAGAGCAAATAAAGAGCTTCCTTCATAGATATGCAGTGGAAGGATGTGACGTGATGGGTGGGAGACCAGAACTACAAATGCCCTTAGGGAGTCAGGACAGGTTAAGAATGTGAGGGAAGAGCAGCTTTTGGGGTGGTGGTGGCAGTTGATGCTGGAGTTAGTGGACTTGAGCAAGCCTATAGAGATAGGTGGGTGCAGTGTGGGGAAGATGCCTGAGCCCTCACTGTGGGTTCCTGTCCTTCCACATGAGACACGCCAATGCACATCATGTACCTGTGGGCTAGCCTGAGCCAGACAGCTTTGTAGGTACAGCTTTAGAAACTTAGCAGGCCCTGAGCTGTTGGCCCTGGTCTCATGTGTGCCTCCTGCCCTGCAGTGCTACAACTGTGAGGAGGAGGCCATGTACCACTGCTGCTGGAATACATCCTACTGCTCCATCAAGTGCCAACAGGAGCACTGGCACGCAGAGCACAAGCGCACTTGCCGCCGGAAGAGATGAGCCCGTCCGCCACCCTCACACGCAGCGGTTTTTGTTTCCAAGAAGCCAAAATTGTTTAGAATTTGCTTCCCATTTTGCACCAGCCTTTAAACACTTTTCGTGGTGAAATTTTGCACAGTAGTTTAAATCTTTTGTTAATGCTCCTCCGGCATTTTTCGGGGGCTGAAGTAACATCAATGGAGGGTATTACTCTAAATAAATTCTAATTGAAGATTTGTTGCATTTTCAGCAAATTTTAAAACATTTTTAGGTTTTACAGAGATTTTAACCTTTAAACAACAGATCTTAAAACAACAACAACAGGTGAATATGAGTGAGTCTAACAAAGACAGAACAGAGCTGAATGTAAGAGCGGCAGACGCTTCGGAAGAAAACAGACTACCTGGCCATGACCTGGCCACACGTGACCTTGCTGAGCTGGTTTTGTGCAGCTTGTTCACTGTTCACAGGCATTGCCTGTGGCCATGCTGGCGGCATGCGATTGAATATAGGGAACAGGGTTGACACAGCAGGGCTAGCCCTGCATATTTTTTCTTAAATATTTCCCAATTGTGTTTTCATTATTTCTTTTCAATATATAACTTTTATAACAAATTATTAGCTTTGATCTTGTAGTTTAAAATTGCAGGGAAAACTGGGGTAATCTTTTACTGAGCTGGATCTTAGAGAAAAATGAATATTTAAATTTTAAAGTTTGCACATTTCATCTTTGTCCTGACATGAGTGCTTGTAACAAAATCAGCAGCAAAAACAAAAATCAAAAACCAAAAACTACCTGTACTCAGAACGTGGGATACAGCTGAGGCATGGAGTTTCTTCACTGACCCCCTCCCTCCCCAGGGCCACCCTAACCTTACTCCCTGTGTCTCCTCGAGTGTGAGTTAGTACTCAGAGAGAGAAAGCACTTACGTGTGACAGAAGCTGTTGTTTGTAGGGAGGGTCATTGCTACTAACGAGCTCCGTCACTGCACACAGTGACTAGTGCATGTTACTTTTCTTGTATTAAAGATGCCGTGATTTGTACAAAGTCTGTATTTTGCGGGATGTCTGGTTAAGAAACATTACCAGTAGGAATGGATCGATAGTTGAATAACATTTTTTATATATACATAGATATATAAAAGACAACCAGGAAAATTAAATTTCTTTAAAACTATCTCACAATTTGTTGTTTTTCCACCAAGACCGATCATAGACCAAGCCAAATTCCTACTTTATCCTTTAGTTATTTTTTGAGGTTAGAGAAATAATTTGTAAATATTTATTTAGACCTTTGATATTTATTAAAGCAATTACTCACAACAGAAGTGAAAGAGTCAGGAGAAAAGCCTTTTAAAAAGTTTTCTCCGGTCCATCAGGGTCACTCTAAAGATGAAGGCTAAGGAGTCTTCTGTGAGCCTCCTCCAGCCAGCGCTGATGCTATTGCAGATGGTGGTAACACAAGTTAATTGACAAACTACTGCCCAACGGAGCACGCTCTTTTGTATGAACCACCAGTATCCCATCAAGTCCACCAGGTTACGCAGTAACTGCAGTAACTTGGCACCACCGCTCCCTCCTTGCTGCCGCGTAACCATCATTGCTGCTGCGCTGCCCCAACCAAGGACACTTGACAGTCTTTGTTTTCAGGTTTTGAAACTTCGATCCACCCTGTGAGAGCAAGTTATTGTGGGAATATTTTTGGTGTAAAATCATTCCAGAGTATGTACTATTTACCTGATAGCTGCATGAAAGTGAGGTTCCTGTTACTTTGGCTTCTTGTCTCTGTCGACGCGGCTGCACATTTCCAAGTTACTACAGCGTGAAACTGTGTGTTTAAAAAAAACAAAATTAAAAAAAGATTGTGGCCTGGTTTTGTAAAAGTTTTAGATAAAATTACAATTGATTGTTTTAGGAATCATTAAAATTTTCTGCAATCATAAAGCTATATCAAGGTGTTGAGTTAAGCCACTCTGCACATTGTAAGTACCCATCGTGGCTGTCCAGTTCTATGATGCATTCTGGCATTTTGTAAGCTGCTCTGACTAGCAATATATAGATTTCATTTACTGTGTTAACATTGGTTAATAAATGTATTTAAAAATACAACAATTCTTGTCTATAAGCTGCTTTAGTTCAGTGTTCTGTGGCAGACATAAACAGCTACACCTACAAGTCGGTCAAGAGCCATGGGCTGCTTGTAGGGACTATTAAACCAGTGTGGGCAACTGGAGCAATGGCTCAGCACTTAAGAGTACCGGCTGCTCTTGAAGAAGACCAGAGTGTGGTTCCCACATGGCAGCTCACATTAGCTCCAGTTCTAGGGAACCCAGTGTTCTCTTCAGATCTCTGTGGGCACCAGCATACACATGATGCACATACTCTGAAGGTAATACATTCATACACATGAATGTAAAGGAAGAAGATTAAATGGATCCTGTTCAGCTCTTCACCTCAATATTTACCTTGGGTCATTTCTCAGAAAAAGGATGAGGTCATGTACTCATGCCAGCTCTGGAGAATGCTGAGCAGTCAGGGTCACCCTGTTCTCACTTGGGATGGCAGGTGGGTGCCATTTTACCAGTCTGGGGCTTTCACACCAATGTTAACCTGTGTGCATGTAGTTTTCTGTGTGGTCTTATCACTGACATCCTGTAGTAGAATCACAGGTGGGATGATTTAGGTTTGAGCTTACTGTAGGATTCTGAAGCTTCCAACAGTCATCACAGAACATTCTAGTCACTTCATTTTTGTCTCTGTCTCTAAGCAAAAAGCTTACCTGTCCTAAAAACACACAACTTCAGATGCCTAATTCTAGACCTTAAGCATAACAACTGTGCTCAGAAAGATTTTCAACTAAGAAATACATGAACAGGTATGAGCCCATGAGAGTGCAGACTAAATTACAGTCTCACTGCAGCCAGAGTTGAGGTGGTGATGTGTGCTAGGAGACAGATAAGCAACTTGCACCTTTCCAGTGCTGAAACAAAAACCTGCAATAGACACAGCATGGAAGTGCCTGTATCCTAACATATTAGAAGAAAGCTTTTTAATTAGTCTAGCAACCAGTATCCCTGGTCTGGCCACTCAAGACCAGGCAGCATAGACAGGTCAATTCAAAGTGATTTACTAATGTACCTAGATGTGTTTAACTGGTGAGCCACAGAGCTTGGTGTCAAGCTCAGGTTGGTTTGATTGCAAAGTTCATTTTTTAACCCATCTGCTGTGCCAAACTCTGGTAGAGAAACTTAATGCCCTTTTGACATTTGTCGGCAAGCTCAGCATCCCCTGAGTCATATTTGTCATCCTCTTACCTCAGCTGGCATCTTCACTCCACCCACACATTGTTCTCCCAATCCAGAGCTGCTATGCCCCTCACTAAGAGAGAGGGCACAGTAAACAGTTCTACCCGTGTCTTTGTCTGTAGTCTCCAGTTTAGAGGTGCACAGACCTGATGTCAGGAGGCATTGGATTAGTGCACTATAAGGTCCTACTTCAGCACAGGCATCATTAACAAGTTACCAAGTGGTGCCACTCTGAGGACCACAGCTGTATTATCAGAAAAATAGAAGTGATGGGTCCATATACCAATGTGTAAGACAAACTGCATGAAATTCTATAAGTACCTTGAGTCTAGAACTATCTTGATTTTCAGGTTAATTCTTCACTCGGTCACATTAATGAAACATCAGTATGTAGAGAGACAATAGAGTTCCTGTAATCTCATCTAGACTGCTCAAAGCCACATAGATAACTCACCAGGGAACTGCAATGGTTGGGATCCATGGAGTGGGTCTGCAGCACGGAAGACTGGAGTTTTGTCTGCTTCTTGTGAACGTCCAGGCCATACGGAGTCTGCTGACCAGGTGTGAAAATTCACAGGTGAGTGTTATTGCATTAAACTACAAACTCCATAAAGCAAAAATGCCGAGAAGGAAATAGAATGTTACCAGAACTGTACATTTTATAGTTGCCATACTGTAAAAAAACAAAAACAAAAAAAAAAAAACCCAAAACCCACAACCAAGTAAAATTAATGTATCTCATCAAACACTTTTGATGTTGGAAGTCCCTCGGTAATTTGCTTTTATTGGCTAATGAATAAATAAGCTGCTATGGCCTGTGACAGGACAGAGCAGAGCTAGATGCAAAACCTAAACTGAATGCTGGGAGAAAGAAGGTATAGTCAGTGAGAAGCCGTGTAGCCGCCAGGGGAGACAGACTTGCCCTGGAACTTTACTGGTAAACCATGAGCCTCGTGGTAAAATATGAAATAATTGAAATGGGTTAATTTGAGACATAAGAGCTAGTTAGAAATACTCTTAAGCTATTGGTCAAACAGTATTGCAATAAATATGGTATGGGAGTTCCTTCTGTCTATGTGTTGTTTTTATTGGTGAATGAATAAAGAACTGCTTTGAGCCTGTGGCAAGGGCAGAACAGAACTAGGCAGGAAAAGCTAGGCTGTATGCTGGGAGAAAGAGGGCGGAGTCACAGAGATGCCATGGAGCCACTGCCAGAGTCAGACATGCCAAAGCTTTGCCAGCAGGCCACAGCCATGTGGCAATACACAGATTAATGGAGATGGGTTAAATTAATATGTAAGAGCTAGCCAATAAAAAGCTATAGCTAATGATTTAATTAATATAGTTTCTGTGTGATTATTTCAGGGCTAAGCTAGCCAGGCGGCCGGGAACCAGCAAAAGGCTCTCTCCAATATTAGTACAGATTTCTGGGTGATTATTTCAGAAATCTGGACAGCTGGGAGACAAACAGTACCTTCCGCCAACATTGTTTAATTTGCAAGTAGTGTAAAATTATGGTTATTACTTTGAGACAGGGTCTCTCTCACATATTACTGACTGGCCACAAACTATGTAGCCAAGACTGACCTTGAACTTATGATCTTTCAGGCTTGTACCTCCAGAGAGCTGAGATCATAGGCCTTGTGGTTCTGAGGATGGAACCCAGGGCTTTGTGCCTGCTAGCCAAGCTCTCTGATATAAAAATTATGTCATTTGCATTCTTAGTTTGTATCAAGCTTTCAAAATCTAGTATTTTATTACTTTCTCCATGTCTTTATCGAGACTAGACACACTATCCAATGTGACCGGTGACTTCCTTTGTCATAGATAAGTACCTGTCCTATCAGTAACTAACTATGGCATTCACCAGCATACATGTGTCAGAGTGCCTAGGAGATACAGAAAAAAAAATAATAATTCTTGCCAG